CTCATTCATTTATTTTAATTTGACCAGAGAGAGACACACACACAGAGAAAGAGGAAGTGAGAAAGCTAGCCACCAGGTCTGGGACTCGAACCGTGGTTGGCCATTATTTATTTATTTATTTATTTATTTATTTAGGTTTTCCCTATAGGGTGCGTGCGCTCACCAGAAAGAGAGAGAGACAGAGACAGAAAGCGAGAAATCACTCCCCAGGGGGGATGGCCATGCCACAATCCCTTCTCCTCCATTCTCTTCTCGGGCTCTTGGGCATGCATGCACAAGCGCCTGTGTGCCAGGTCTGGGACTCAAACCATGGTCAACTATGTGCGAGTCTAGCGCCCTTAATCATCACGCCACCTGCTAGCCCCAATTTCAGGTTTTTACCATAGGGCACGTGCGTTTGCTGAAGAGAGACACACAGAGATAGAGATAGTGAGAGAAAAAGTGAGATATCTCTCCTGGGTGGGGGGGATGGTCATGCCACAATCCCTTCTCCTCTATTCTTCTCTTGGGATTTTCAGCATGCACATGCATGCACATACACACACACACACACGCACACACACACACACATGCCTGGTATGATTTTCAAGCCACTGGGTCCAGGGCTCAAACTGTGGTTAACCATATAGGAGCCCAGCAACTTAACCGTCACACCACCTGCTGGTCCCATAACTTTGCATTTTTAATAAGCATCAGTATACTTCTTGGGGAGAACTAGCTGGACCCCCTCATAGTTGACCTTAGTTCAATTCCCACACCTGTCAGCTTAAAACTCACATTGGGGGCATGTACGTGCATACCCAAAACCCCAAGAGGAGAATGGAGGAGAAGGGACTACGGCCTGGTCGTTCCCCCTGGGGGGTGATTTCTTGCTTTCTGACTCTGTCTCTCTGGTGAGTGCATGCACCCTATAGCAAAAAATTCTCTCCTTTTTTTCCCTCTTTTACTTTTTTATTACAGCGCATACATCATTCTTCTTCATGCCAAGTAGTGTGGTATGTTGGTCAACAGCATGGAATTCTAGGACCAGACAGTGGTGCAGAGGTAAAAGGCAATGTTCTATTAAGCAATCCGCATGATAAGGTTCCTAGTTCAAGTCCAGAGACCTCCCTGAGTATGCTGGCCACATACCTGCCCATGATTTGGAGTTGGCTAAGGGCCAGAGTGAGTCATGTGATATGAAGACCCTACTGGGACCAGCAGTTAGCGTAATGGCTATGTCACTGGACTCCCACGTAGTCGACCACGGTTCGTGTCCCAGACCCGGTGGCTTAAAACTCACGCCAGGCACGTGTGTGTGTGTGCCCAAGATCCCGAGAGGAGAATGGAGGAGAAGGGATTACAGCATGGCCATCCCCCCTGGGGGGTGATTTCTTGCTTTCTGTCTCTCTGTCTGGCGAGCGCACGCACCCTATCGCAAAAACCTCTCAAAAAAAAAAAAAAAAAAAGACCCTACTGTGGGTGCTTTCTCTCTCTCTTGCACACATGTGGAGAAATAAATAATCCTAAAAAAAAAAAAAAAAAAAAAAAGGAGGGACCAGCGGATGGCATTGTAGTTAAGGTACTATACTTCTACATGGCTGACTCTGGTTCGAGTCTTAGACTTGGTGGCTTCCTTTCTATCTTTTCTTTTTTTGAGAGAGATTTTAGATATAGGGTGTGTACACTTGCTGGAAAGACAGAAAGTGAGAAATCATCCCCTGGCAGGATGGCCATGCCACAATCCCTTCTCCTCTCAGGATTTTGGGCGTGCGCGCGCACACACACACACACACACACACACACACACACACCTGCCCAAATCCTTATAGAAAGGAGGAGAAGGGATTGTGGCATGGCCATCCCCCGGGGAGGTAATTTCTCACTTCTGTCTCTGGCTCTTCAGTGTGTACACATGCCCTATAGCAAAAATCTCTTTTAAAAATAAAATAATAAATAAAAATTAAACTAATTCTGGGTCAGCAGGTGGTGTGGTGGTTAAGACGCTGGAATTCCCACATGGCCGACCACGGTTTGAGTCCCAGACCTGGTAGCTTGCATTCTCACTTTTCCTCTCTCACTCTCTGGCAACACTCATGTGCAATAATAATAA